TGAATTACATTTTATTTTACAGGTGCCTGATGACACACCTTCAATGCAAACAAGGTACAGTATAATTTATGATTATTAGCAATCATACAGAGTGCTTGACACAATTTTCTTGCACAATTCAAGTTATACAATCACAGAAGCTACAGATATTCAAATATTAGAGGGCAGGACCAAATTCATTACTACGTCATTATCCTTAACTCATGAATTTATTGACAGCAGAATGTTGGCACAAGTCATCTTTGAAAGCCAACAGATGCGTTCCCAAGGAGAAATGGAAACCATACCTTTACAACCTTCTTGGCTTATGGATTCATCAGTTGCAATGGTGAGTTATTCAAATTTTTCTTTCACTATTAAATACAGGCAATGTACAAAATTGACCTCTGAGTTTAGAATATTGAGCTTAACAGTTTTCTGAAACTACTCAAAATGCAGCTGTAATAACAAGGTAGATTGATGATGATTACAATTCCAGCAATAGTTTCCATGTGTCTTTTTGTCTAAAAAAAACATGAAGTTTATGAGCGGTTCATCTTCATTAACTGTTTCATTCTCAAGATCTAGTCATCAATTCTCTAGAATGTTAGCCTTGTTTTCTCTTATACTTAAGTACATCTAAGAATTAAGTATGGAGTGAAACAAAGTCCCCAAGATGATATATGTAATTTTTCCCATGTCTCATCTTCCCTCTGTTGGGAGATGTATTGACATTGTAAGGACAAATATACTCTTGGCAGTGAAAGGGTTAAAATGTCTTCATGTTACATGTATGTGGCTTTTATATTCAGATATGTGTAGAAAGTACATTAAAAGTTTACCTTTTAAAATATTAGAATGTTTAACACCACATGTGGGAATAATAGCATACACAGCACATAAAATGTACTCTCGAGTCTTATATGACTCACAGTATTTTTCTCTTTTTAAAGATATGGCACAAGATGCAATCATGTACATGAACATTAGGTCACTAAACATGTACATTTGTTGAAAAGTACAGCTTAATGGCAATAGAAATTCCTAACAGTAGCAATAAAATCCAAAATCTGAATAGATCAGATTAAGGCTGCCACCCAATGCTTTCTATCCAACCTTAGTTCCTTCTTAAACTTAATACACAGGGTGCTGAAGAACTTTGAAAGTTCAAGATCCCAACATTACAAGAATTTGTGTTAACCAAGAAATAATTAGTTTTAGTGTATTTCAAACATAGCACAAGTAGATTCAGTTGGTAAAGCTAAAAAACCCTAGAATGTATGTTTGTAAATCCTTTACTTCAGAGTAATTAATTTTGTTTTGCACTTAATGTTGGTTTACCTCACCACTATCCAAAATATTGTATACAGTGTATGGTTTTTGAAAAACATCAAATGTACATGTATTAGACATGAATCATTTAAATTTTCTAACAAATAAGTTTCCTTACAACTCCCAAGAACTTTCTTAGGTTAAATGCATCCTCTACTGTATGACCAGTTACCGATAAGATCTCTGTAATCAGATTTAGAACTACAGTATTATGGTTTCTCTTGACTGTAAAAAAAACACAATCCAAACAAAAACTGGAGTTGGAGATGCTAATCATTGTTTTAAGAAAAGTTTTCAAACTTTTTCAAGGACTTTGTCCAGCGATATATCCTCATAGGATACATGTATTCATCAGCACAAAGAAAGTTAATTCTTGTGTCATGCAGGTAATTCTTAGGGCTGAAAAGACAGTAAATCTATTAATATGGTCATAGTTCATTACAGAATGGAATAAATGTCTTTTCTCTTGTGACTGAACAATCTCTTTTCAAAATGATTAAAAGAATTGTGTGACACAAAGAATGGTGATCTGTGTGACATAGAGAATTGTGCACTGTGTGACTTTAATATGAAGTTATACAAAGTCAGGACAAGATACACTGATACACATGCACATCTACAATTTTATCCAAACAATTCTGCCTTCCATCCAGGACAAAAAAATTATTCAAATCAGATATCCTTTGAAATCCTTTCACTCCCAGGAGTGACTTAAGAAGTAATTTCTCCCTACACTATTAACACATTATCAAGCTGCTAGGTTAGGAGAATAAAAGCAAATATCAACTAAAGGATATTATCTGATCCACCAGTAAAAATTCTTAGAACTACTACTACCTTAAAAGAATTGTATCGCAGACAGTAAGGATAATTGCTAATGCATTCTTTGGGTGTGAAAGGGTTTTAAAGAGACATCTTTCCATAGGGTGACAGATTCAAACTTATATGGAGATGCAAAAGGTCAAAAATAAAATCTTTGAAATAAAAAATAACAGAAGTAATTTTAAATTTATAAAAAATTCCTTGATCAAGTTGTAATCAAAACAAACAAACCAAAGTTTATTTTTCAACTAGTAAAATCATGAGTGACACACAAAGAGAAAAGAAAAATTATTTCCATGATACTTTGTTTATAAATTTAAACTGTTTGTCTGCATAGGCCACAGTATAACACTTTCACATATGGAAAAAATCTACATAATTTTACTTAAACTGCTATTTGAAAAACTATTTTCAAACCTCCCAAAATCCTTCAAAACTCCTTATCAACTTAGTACTTCCTATAGTACTTCAACAAAAGTTGTGGATTAAAGCTATATAAAAAAATTTGGATTTTCCTTATGATTTTCAGAGCCAAACTGGCTTTTTTAGAGAATCTGAGGAGTTTTAGAACACATTTTTAGATAATAATGTCCAAAAGATTACATGAAAATAAATGCATGTGTTTCATAACAGCTTCTTCATTGTTCTTTCACTGTTTCCAAGCATGCTCCTTCCACATAATTACTACTACAAGCCTTTTCAGCATCACTGAAGGGCCTCTGTGCTAACTGTTAAATGTTGTTACTGTTTGTTTTAAGGAGAATTATGTAAGGAGACAAAGCTAACAAATCACTTACTTTGTCTGGTAAATAAATGATTTTGGAATAAGTTTAAAGGTGCTTCCATGTGATTTCACTGGGGGGAATCTGGCATTTAATGAAAATTATCTGATTTTTAAAAAAAATTGAGACATCTGGAATTTGTAGGAAAAATTTCAAGATTTTTGAAGATAAAAAAGGAGATTTCACACATTTTTTGGAGATTTTCTAGATTTTTGTATCTAGGCCCATTATGGATTTTCATGGCTACTATTGAATACCTAATCTAACTTTAACTGGTGCAATTTAGATTTCAAAAATAAAAATAAGATGAAGTTCTATTTTGGATGCCTCATATCACTGGCACAGGTACTGCTAGTGATATGATAAATATGCATTATTGACCATGCATGAGGTCAGAATGGTTGGATTTTGGCTGCTTTCTATTTTTGCATTTTTATTAAGAGACAAAGTCAGCATAATAAGAATCGAGAATGACTGCTGTATCTCAAGAGCCAGAAAAAAAGAAATCGAACAGTGTTTGTAGAGCTATAAACCCATGAGAGTCATTTAATATTTTCTTTGCTCTCTTTGTTCTTCCCATTTTTGCAAGTCAATTATCATCATATTAAAAAAATTATGAACTTTTAAGTCCCCTCCAAGCCATCATTTCTTATGCGGGATCAAAACAGCTGATCTCAAGCGTGCAAAATGAGCCCATTTTGACCACTTGGATAGCCAATCAGTACATTGAATTCGCTTCACACTACCCACGCACGCTGCCGGATGTGTGATAAGGTGTTTTACTGGTCCACCTCCTTTCCATACTAGGTCAATTTTACCACTCTTTTACTTTGATGTCTACATGTAAATATCTACGGACAGTTTAAGTGACTTGTATCTCAGTGGCGGACTGCTTTGACCTACAAACCTTAAAATCTACACTTTCCACAAGTTTTACAGTTCAAATTACTTAATTTATCATGCGTGTACCAGTAAATTATGCTGACAGACGAGTTGATAATTGAGGAATCAAAGTATAAGACGAGAGAGGGTCTCGATTGCTACATTAAATTAAGACCAAAACGTTTTGGTCTACGCGTGTTTAAATTTGAAGAAAGTAGAAGTTCAACGTCGTTTGCAGCCGTTAAAACCATAATATGCACGTGAAAACGTGTCGACGATTCATCAGGAGAGATGGCTACGAAGATTGCTAGCTCGAGCCACACAAACAACAGACCCGCTAGAAACGTTGAACCTAATACACGTTAGAGCCAAAATCTACAGGCATCAGTTTCCATTGTAAGAACAACGCACATATTTTCTCTGTTTATCTTACCTTATCACTTTGTTCGCTTACTTCAA